TTTCTGGGAATACAAGATTTTTTTAAGGCAGGGTGTAAACACCCTGGAAATTGCACACCTCCCGATTGTGTTGAGTGTATTGGTTTTTAAAATAGCTTTATTGAAGAGCTACTTAGGTCACAGGCAAATACGCGCTGCATTTCATATTTCTGAGAATGAATTCTCAGCGCAGGACTATTTGGCTACCAGGGTTTTGGGGGTAACTATTCCATAATTACTTTATATCTGTCAGAACCTCCAGGTCTATCTATTCGTAGTAAAAGTAATAGTCAACTGGGAAAATGATTCTTTTTCTAGAGCTCTCCTTGTGCCTCGTGGTCAGAGACCAGTGTGGCCAAAATTGGTTGAAATAATGTGAGAAGCAATTTCACCCACCTAACTGAATATATATTTATTATTGTGCATGGAAAGTTCACTAATTTTTTTCCCACTTGTCCATCTTTCTGTTTTGGGGGCCTAAGTAAAAAAAAAAAAAAATATATATATATATATATATATATATATATATATATATATATATACCCAAATAGTTCCTTTTTCCAGACCAGAAAAGCTGGAAAATTCAAACTAATAATGACAATGCTCAGGGATTATTTTTTGAATTTTCTTTTTTAAACTGTAAATGCTCAGGGTGGATGGAATACCGTCCTGGTGATGAGTTGTTGAGTCTGCTTGAGACAGGCAACAAGGGCCTGGCTCAGAATTCTTCCTCTATGCCACGTGTGCAATCACTATTGTGGAGTCGAGCCAGGTCCTGACTTGATTTTATCTGCATGTGATTTAGACTATGGATGTGAGGTGCTGCTTCTCTGTCATGAGGGTCTCTTCCATTTCAGGGAGATGAATTGCACAGACCCCCAAGAATCCATGCTGGAAAGAAATGCTGTGCTTCATGACAGGAAGCCAAATTCAGATACGAAACCAAATAGAAGACGTTTTACTAATATAATACATTAGCTGTTACTATGGGAATAGATGGGAAGAAACTTGAGTAGCTCTGGCCTCGTTAATTTCCATTTGGAGCTGCTGTTAATTTGGCTCCATTACATATTGCAAACAAGGATCATAATATTTAGATAGGACATTTCATCACCAAAACTCAGGAAAATTACACCGTCGATGATGTTTAATAGGGTCCACATCTCAGCTGGGCAGGCAGGACACAGAGTGGTTAAATTACTGTTCCCAGATCCCCGAAAGTAGGGTTCCCGTGCGCTCTTTGGTTAAAAATCTCAGCAGGTTTAATGCAGTCTTTGTGGGGATTTTCTTGCTTAATTTGGAGCCAGATAAGTAGAGAAATGGAGTTTTTGAGTTGTCAACTATACACCAGCGCTTTCTCTGCATGTGAAGCTGCTGTATTTACCCCACCTCTCAGAGGTGGCTGCATGGCACGTACCATTTAACGAGAAACATCAGACTTATCAATTAGAAAGACTGACAGTTTTGACCCAAATCATAAAAACACCCTCCAGCCGTTTTCTGATGCCCAGAACACAAGAGCCCCGCTGTAGTTTGGCTGTGTGACCCATTACTGTAGCACCCGCCTTAGAAACTGGGAACTGTCAGCCCCTCAGCATAAATAGAAAGCATGCTGAAGATAGGCTCTTGCAGATGTTTTTTCAAATTCAAGGCCAACCTACTACAAAGGAAAACTTTGTCTATGGCATTTCAGAAACAAAACTGCTGACCAGCTGTAGAAGGTAACACACAGCATGACGGTTGCCATGGCATTAAAATTTTAAAAGCATCATTTGAAAGTTTTGAACGGGTGGGGTTCAAACTTTTAATGGGTGGAACCCTTAAAATTAGAGGTATTCTGAATGCCATGGAGAGTGTGATCAGACAGTTCTCAGGGAAACATGGAATTCCTGTTCCAATGGGCACGAGGCACGTGAAACAGCAGAGCGCAGAGGCGCCCTGTCTCCCTGTGCCGCCCTCCGGGAGTTTGTTCTTAACCAAAGCCAAGGTCCTGGGTCCAAACCCTCCCTGGACCAGGTTCCCCGGGAACGGAATTCCACTAGGAAAGCATTTTTTCTTCCTCCTCCTTTCGCCTTCCACGCTCCCTTTCCCTCTCTCGCCTGTGAAAATTTATTTATTGCAAAACACTAAGGACCAAGCATGGCCCGAGGTTGCTGGGAGACTCGTGATCCAGCCTGGGCCCTGCCGGCCCTCTGCTTGGGCTTTCCTTTACCCACTTGGAGGCAGAGAATCTGGCCCCCCCTGCACCCCATGTCGGTTTGTGGGTCAGATCTCATCTCTCATAGCAGCAGTCACAGCCTCCTGACAGGGCCCTCAGGTGACCCAACGGGGCAGGGCATGTGCACATGAACACACGTGCACATGACAAGTGTGCGTATGAACACGTGTGCATAAGGAACACACACAAACAAGTGGCCATGCGCACACACACGAACACATGTGCCTGTGAACACATGGAACATGTGCACCTACGTGTATATGAACCCATGTGCATGTGCACACATATGTGAAGGAGTGTGGGGGCCTCTTTCTCCTACACCTGAGCCTGAAGCAGGGTCCAGCCGAGCAGGCCTGCCGAGCGCTCGCAGCCTGGCTGGGCACTTGGCTGACCTCCCACACGACCTGTCTTTGTTGCAGTGATTTTTTTCATCTGAGGTGCTCAACACCCACACCTTGAGTGGCATCAGCTCCTTAGCTCTCTTGCCTCACCCAGATGCACACCCACGGCTCTTGTCTACCTGGCCTCCTCGGCCACCCTCACAGCAAAACCCACACCAGCGTTTCCTTCCCAAAGGGGCCTGCACTGCAACAGGGACGGGGCTTGTCAGAGGGAGGCTTCCCCAAACAGTGGCCAAGCCCTGGCATGGGACCTGCGTGGGGGCATGTCTGCGTCCTGGAGGCTCCGGGGAGAAGCTTCTCGCAGCAGTTTCGAGGCTGGAGGCCCGAGGCGCGGCGGCGGGATGCAATTCCAGGCCTCACAGCTAGTGGGGCTTCCGCGGGGAATAGCCGTGTGCCTGCGCCTCGAGGTCTGCTTGCAACTTCAGGTCTCGCCGCTCTGGAACTTGGATTCCACTTTCCTTCCCCTCTGTCATCCAGCTCAGATCGCTCCAGACGCGCCACGGAGCGCGCAGCAGGGCACAGCGCGAGTGCGCACGGAGACCCGGCCTCGCAGCCTCCAGGGCTCCCTTACCCACGAGCTGGGGAGAAAATAATTTCTGTTTTGGCACCGCCGGGCAGCAGGCTGCCCCGCTCCTGCGGCCAGAGGCTGCCCCCGGCGCCATTGTGCGCCTGAGAGTGAAACTTAAAAGATGTTCTCTTGCGGACAACAGGTGGCCACTGCCAGCTCCGGTTCTGATTGGCGGAAAGGCCAGAGGCGCCCGTGGCCCAGAGAAAGGGCCTCCACTCCTGCGTTTCCAGGACCTGCTCCGGGGGGTGTTGTCCCGACACCGGCTCAGCTCGCCGCCCGCTGGGCCATCAGGGAGCGCCGGGGGCGGCCAGCGCTCGAGGGGGCTCTGGAGAGGTGGCCCCGGCTTCTCGGGAGGGGGGCCCGGCTCCTCGCGGGGACACCGTGCGCGGTGGTTTCTCCCCGAACGCCGCTCGCTCGCGCAGCTCCGGCACGCGCTTCTGCGGGGCGCAGCGCACCCCCAACCCTCTCCTAACTGAGATGTGTTTTCCTGTTGGGTCCGGAGAGGGGGTGCAGGGCGAAGGCGCGGGCGCAGGTGCTGCCCGGCCCGCGGGGCCACTCCGGGGAAGCCACGGCGGCAGGAAAGCCCAGCGCGAGCCGAGTCCGGGAAAGTTCAGGCCCTGGGCCCGCGGGGCGCGGGCGGGGGTCCCCGAGCCGGCGCAGGTCTCTCCCCGGGCCGGCGCCGCTCCCGATGGCCCGGCCGGGAGGGGCGCGGCGGCCTCCCCTGCCCTGCTCCCCTGGCATCCAGGCTCTGCCCTCGCGGGGCCGGGGCCGAGCTCTCCAAGGCCCCCCGCGCCGTCCAGCCCGGGGGTGCGGTGGGGCGGGGGGCGGCAGCCCAGGGACCGCGAAGGCAACCCAGAGGGGCGAGCGCCGCGCGGGGAAGTTAATCACCCAGAACCTTTTAGGAAAACAGGGCATTTCCCGGGAGCGCAGGGACGATCCGCCCAGATCCAGCGACTCCCCTGTCTTCCGAACACAAACAGGGGCGCAGGCGACACGCAGGGAACCCTCGGGAGGCCGCGCCCGGGCGGCTCCCCGGCCGCCTACCTGGGACAGGTCGCCCCCCCCCCCCACGCAGGGGCCGCAGGTGCGCGCGGGCCGGCCCGGGGGCTCCGGGGCGCGGGCGGGGCGGGGCGCCGCGGCGCGGGGGACCCGCCGGGGCAGCCGGGGCAGCGGCGGGGCCGGGCGGGAGGGGCGCGCGCGCGCGGGGCCGGGCGAGGAGGGGCGCGGAGGGCGCGGGGCGCTCGGCGGCCGCGGGGACAAAGAGGCCGAGCGCCGGGGCGCGGGCCGGGGCGCGGGGCGCGGGCCGGGGCCGGGGCGCGGGCGGCGGGCGGCGGGCGGGGCGGGGCGCGCGGGCCGGGGCGCACCGGCGGGGCGGGCGGCGCGCCAGCTGCCCGCGGTGGGAGGGGCGGAGCGCGCGGGGAGGGGACCGGCGCGGAGGCAGGAGGGGAGAGGGGCGGGGCGGCCCCTTGTCTCCGCGCTCCGCGGCTCAGTCCGCCCGGGAGGAGGAGGAGCAGCGGGCCCGCCGCGCCGTCCCGGCCTCGCCGCGCACCTGGAGCCGCCGCGCCGCCCGGGCCCCGCCGCGCCGCGCCCCGGGCCCCGGCCCGCGTCGCCCCGGAGCCCCGGCGGGGCGCGTCCCCGGGCCGCCCCCGCGCCCGCTCGCGTGGCCGCGCCTTTGTGTGCGGCGCGGCTCCCGGCGGCCCGGCCCGGCCCCGCGCCCGCGCCCCGGCCCCCGCCCCGCGCCCCGGGCCGCCCGGCCGGCGCCCCCGACGGTGGACCCGGCGGCTCCGAGGAGGCGGCCCGCGGCCCCCCGCCCGCCCGCGCCCCGGCCCCCGGCATGGACGTGCGGTTCTACCCCGCGGCGGCCGGGGACCCCGCCGGCCTGGACTTCGCGCAGTGCCTGGGCTACTACGGCTACAGCAAGGTGACCGCGGCGCGGGCGGGTCCCCCGGGCGGGCCCCGCGCCCCGCGCCCCGCCCCGCGCCCCGCGCCCCGCGCCCGGCGGGCTCGGCTCCGGCCAACTCTCCCGCACTCCCGGGCCCCCGCCCCCGCTTTGTCCCCCGCGGGCCGGCGCGCCCCGCGCCCCCCGCCTCTGCCCCGCCGCCCCCCCCCCCCCCCCCCCGCCCCCCAGCCCCGCGACCCTCCCGCTGCCCCAGGACGCGCGCCGGCCCGGGCGGGGCAGGGGGCTCGGCGCGAGTCTTTGTTGCTGTTGCTAGTAAACAGGGGCGCAGCCCCCCTCAGTTTGGGGGTGGGGCGGGGGATGCCGGGCCCCCGGTTTCGTGGCTCTCGTCCCCCTCCCCCCGCCCCCCGCCCCCCTCCCCGCTCCCCCCCCCTCGCGCCCGCACCCCGCGCCGCCGGGGCCCGAGAGGAACAAACTTTGGCGCGCGCCCCGCGTGGGGGGCTGGGGGCGCGGTGGTGGCGACACCCCGCAGGTGGCTTCGCCGCCCCCCGCCGGGGAGCCCCGGGGCCGGGGGTGCGCGTCCCGCCGCGCTGGCACGAGGGGCTCCTACCCCTGCCGTTTGGGGGACTCGGTGGAGGCCGCACCCCCCCCCCCCCGCCCCGGGGCTCCCCGGGTCTCCCCACCTCCCGCACCCCGCCGGGGCTCAGGTGGGGCTGGAAGCGCGGCGGCCGGGCCGGGCTGGGGCGCGGGGTCGGGGCGCGGGGTCGGGGCGCGGGGCGCGCGCGCTCGCGCCCTGCAGCCCCCCGCGCAGCCCCCCGGGCCGGGCTTGGGGAAACAGCTCCCCAGGGCGACTTTCGTAGAAGGAGCCGCGCGCGAGGGCCTGTGGGGTCTCTTTCTCCTTCCCCTGCGCCTCCCCCCTCTCCTTGTTCTTTCACATCGTAGTTTGTTGATGGTTGCGCGGCCGGCCGGGGAGGACCTCGGGCCGCGGAGGAAGGTGCGATGCAGAACTAAGGAATAAATCACAGGCGGGGAGCACTTGCGTGGGGAGCCCGCAAGGAGAGCGCGCGGTGCCCCTGGCTGGCGAGGCTCCTGGTCCTCGCTGTGTGTTTACACTCCCTTCCCAACTCCGGTGCTGAAGTTTGTGGGAGACCTTTGGGGGGTCTCTGCCTCGCTTGCACCCCACCCCCCCTGTGTCAGCGGGGGCCAGCCGTGCTGTGCGCCTGGCACCGGGGCCTCCCCCCAAGCCCGGTGTGCTGGAACCCTTGGGGAGGGCCGGGGGCGCGTCACGCTCTCCAAATTCCAAAAGTGATAGGCGCAGGTTGAAAGAGAAGCCAGAAAAGGCCTCTCCCAGTAGGCAAAGTTAGGGTTTACTTTCTGTCCTCTGATTTTGGATTTACTCAGGTTATTAAATGCTTTAAAAAGTCCCCTATGGACACTCAGGGAGGGACTTAGGAAGCCTAATTAAGTATGGAGTGTTTCTGAGAATCCATCTAATTGTTCCAGTGGGGTATTATTTATCTCCCTCCAACTTCGCCTGTGCAGCAGGCCCTGGGTAGCTGGGCACGCTCTTATTTTTGGGAAGCCATTACCTGGCCTAATGTAACTACTTCTCTCTCTGATTTAAGATCAGCAACACTGAGTGACACCAAAATAGAAACCTTTTGTGCTAATCCAGTCACTGCAATGCGTGGCAAAGCTCTCTGTTCACCACCTTCCCAAGGGTACTTCAAGAGACCAGAGGAAATTGGGGGTGTTTCTGTGCGTCTCTTTTTATTTTTTGGAGAAAGGCTGTTTTGAGTCGATTGAAACTCAGAACATTTATGTCAGGGAGGAGCGGATAGGAGGCTGGAAGACAGACATCCCTTCCTGAGATCCTTGCTCAGCAGTGGAGATGCAAGTTGGTTGGCTGGCCTGGTTTCTTCGTGCAGCTATTTGCCTGAAATAACTGGGGTGCTTAGTAATTCAGCCCTCTGCGGTGTGTGGGTACCCAACTTATGGAAGTTTGTGCTTCCTCTTGGGAGAAGCCACACTGTACTTCCCTCCAGGGAGGTTTTTGCATTTCTTGTAGATAAAAATACAATTATTTTTAAACTGAGCCACACTATTTTATTTTTCTACACTTAATTTCTGGAGTGAAAAACTCCGTTTTATTCCCCGTGATTTTTCTTTATAGGGAGAAGGTAGTCGAAGAGGAAGTATTAACTTTATGGGCATAAAACAGCAAGTGCTAATTAAAGGTTTATAGCATTTTGTTTCACAGCTAACTCGTGTGTCTGGAGTGGGGCTGCTGTGCCGTCTGGGTCTATGCTGAAAATGTAAACGCTTGCACACAAAGGCAGGCGCTTATTTTATTTGCAAACACTTATTAATCTCCCAAGACTTAACTTTTGATGACGTGTGTTATCCTTCTGGATGGAAAAAGAGAGACTTCCAAGGAAGTAGGTTTCTGCCCTCTCTTGTTGCTGTGTGACCTTCTGGGAAACTTTAGGAGACGTGCAAGACCCTCAGCTCCAAACTTAGCCAGTGAAAAATTTGTGCCGATCTTTACATTTATTTACACACCGTGAATAATAGGGTGTCCTTCATTTTCTCTCTTTAACAAATGACCCGAGTCCTTTGTATAAATTATAGGCGTGTGTATTATCTTTACCTTCTGTGACTATATGGATCCTTTTTAAATGTCAGCACCCGTGAACGTGGGCTCTATCTATGGAGAATGGATGAAAGAGTTGGGAGAGTTCAAAAGTCGCTGCAAGTAGGAGAATAACTTCAAATAAAATATAGCCAGGATCATTAAAATCAGTTAATAATTCATGAAGCAGCCACTGATGTATAAACTTAAAGTCATCTCTGTTTTCTAAGGGCTAATTTCCATTTTAATTTCAAGTGGAAAATCTAGTGTTTGAACATTTCTTTTTCTGGTGGGGCTCACAAATTAAGCTCGCACCCACACACAAGTATTTTTTTTTAAAGGTCAGATATTATTCAAGTGAATTGGTGACCTACTGTCTATAGAATTGGAATTTTCCTTTCCCTGCGTTCAACTTCTCTCTCCACCAGTAAGAAGATGATAGGCGACATAGCAATGGGCAGATGGGTGTCAGAGGTCTTTCACCCCCAAATCAACGCTCCTGTTTAATGTGGGTCGAGCGAGGTGAAGTCACACAGTGGGTTAATAATGAACTTGGACTGAACTCTAGTGACTAGCTTTTCCTGCACATTCTTAGGGGTTTTCTGCCTCTTGCAGAATAGGAGCGTTGACCCCATACCCTACATAGGAAAGTCCTATGTTGTTTTTACGCCATTCGTCTGGAAACATGCTTTCTGATGATTGTGTTATTGATCGCTGTGCTTAATGAAGATGTTCTAATATGAACGCTTTCAGCCCGGGTCCCTGGGCTTTCGCCTTCGCTGGCTTGAAGGGTGAGAGGCCTGCAGGGTAATTTGTCATGTGTCTGTCTTCTTGGAGACTCTGGTTCAGATTGAGAACATATTGAAAGGAGGATTTGATTGAAACTCCTCTTAAGTGGATATCTTGTTCCAGTATGAGAATTAATGATTTTATCTCTGGGGTCTGGAGGATTGGCCTGGTGAATCTGGAGAACAGATTGAGAGATTTCCATGTCAGGCTTTTAAACAAGAGATTGAAATGACATTGTGAGAGGGGAATCGGGTTTTACGGAGGACATTTGACCAGACCCCCGAAACATGTGACGCTAGGGCTTTGGGGGTCAGTGGGGATGCGCTCGGTCTAGAGGGGTAGCCTTGTGTAGCACAGTAGATTGTGGTCATGCCAACATTTGGACCACATGGTTTACTGTTTTCAAGAGAGTAATCTGATTTTTATGTGAAATAGCTTGAATTAGGGATTTTGCAAGTAAGTTAAAAATAACTGAAATCACTGTCTGGGGTCCCCAAAACATGCTCGTGATCTACAGCGTTGAAACTTTTTGCTGAGACACATTCAACCTCATTTTCTGACCAGTCACTTAGGGCTTGTGTAGGACGAGCCCCACACACTGCCACCTTCGGTTGCTTGGACAGTTCAGTTGAGTAAGTGGAGAATGTTTTAATATGGTTCCAATCCGACCATTCGATCATTTGTTTAATGTATCGTATGTTAATATTATGGTCTCACGTCAATGGAACAACTCTAGTTGGGCTGGTTCTAGTGGAAGAGTCGGTCCCACCGGCCTGCCACTTATTTTTGTAGGATCAGTGACTTAATGGTTTTAACCTTTTTAAATGGTTGAAAGAAATCAAAAGAGGGATGATGCTCATGACTGAAAATCACATGAAGTACACATTCGTGCCCATAAAGAAGGTTTTATTGGAACACAACACAGGCTGCTCTTTTGTCGATGCCTTTTCTGTGTCTGTTTCATGCGATGGTGGCAGAGCTGAGTAGATGGGACAAGACCGGATGGCTTGGACAACCTAAGCATTCGCTACCCACCGCCAGACAGAGTTCGCCAGCCCCCCTTCTGGGTTCTAGATCACCAAACCCCTTGATGGTTCCCTCGTCATCCTTTGTTTCAAACTTCTGTGGCAGAAAGAAAATGGAGTTAAACAGATAGAGTAATTGGAAAGATTATGATCGCAGAGAGTGTTTCTCAGAATGCTTCTAGAACTGTGGGTTCTCAGCCCTGGCTATACTTAGCCCTGGGTAGGATGGGAGGTGGCAGTAACAGATCCTCCTGGCCTTGCCCCAGGCAAGTTCAATAAGAATCTTTGGGCTGGGATGCAGGCAACAATGTTTTTGATGGTTAGTGATTCCACTGTCCAAGCACAATTGGAAACTCTTTTAGGCTGAGGAGCCTGCTTTGGAGTGGCCGAGCTAGGCTCTTTGGATGGTTCGATCGTGTCTTCAAGGACCAACCTCAAGGAGCAGGGGAACAGCATCAAGAAATTTATTTTCATAAGGAAGACAAGACTTTATGCTGACGCTCAGGGCCTTCCCAGGACCTCGGCTTGTCCCAGGCACTGGGGACCTGGCTCCCCTCTGTACTGTATCAGACATAGAA